CAGGCGAAGCCAACAGCTAAGATCCCTACGCCGGCAGATTTTCCGAAATTCATCGAAACAGGAGCCCACCAGCGGCCGAGCGGTAAAGTCGTTGAACACTGGTAGTTCGGTCCGAGGTTCGAATCCCGCGAACGGGCTGGCTACATGGGCGTTTTCGTGGTTTTCCCCATGTGTAACGTGTATACGAGCCAGTTTCCCTTAGAAAGTCCTCCACGAAAGGCATCCCTCCCCTTAGGCAGATAGCCCTTATGTGCTTTGCCATAATTAAATGTATATGTGATACTGCACGATTATTTGAGGACATTTAATCATATTTGTTGTTATAATAATAAATTTTTGTTCATTTTTCATCGGACTTGTGCATTCATTTCGTAGCGAACCCGTACGCACACAACAATTTTTGGTGCCAATAACAAGAGCGATGGAGGAGCAATTGAGACAGCTCATCAGTGCTTTTGTTGCATTTAAAGAAGAAATGAAAGAAAATATGGATGCTGGTCAGGAAAGGATGGAAGATTCTGTTAAAGGAGAGATGAGATCTGTTAGGGAGGAAATGAAATTGGGCCAGGAATCCGTTAAGGAAGAAATGAAATTGGGCCAGGAATCCGTTAAGGAAGAAATGAAATTGGGCCAGGAATCCGTTAAGGACGAAATGAAAGCCGTTCAAGCTGGTCAAGAAGAAATGAAAAGAGAAATTACCTGCATAATAGGAAATAAATTTGAAGCTATGGAAGGCAGAATTGACACAGTTTGAAGAAAGAGTTTCTTCGGTGAAAGAAGAAATAGAAGAAAGAGTTTCTTCTGTAAAAGAACATATAGAAGGAAAGAGTTTGTGCCGTCCAATACCAAATCGAACAACAAATTGATGATAGGGTTTCTGCAGTACCCAAAGAAAGTGGATACTTTAAAGAAAAGAAATTCGTAGCGACGGCAGGGAACAATAGTGATGGTTTTAAATTTTTACCCATGCCTGCTCGTCCCTCTCTGAAGTTATCCACTTATGATGGGAAGACCTCCTGGCAAGTGTATAAAACACAATTTTCTATAGTGGCGGATGCGAATGGATGGGATTCCCAAGCTAAGGCCTGTCATCTCGCCGCTTCTCTGAGAGCAGACGCAACGGATATCCTGCAGACGCTTCCCGAAAATCAAAGGCTAGATTTCGAAGCTCTATCCGGCGCTTTGGAGCTGCGCTTCGGCGAGAAATGTTTAAAAGACTACAGCAGGCTCCAATTAAAATCCCGTCAACAGAAGCCCACCGAATCACTCCAGGAACTCGCCACGGCTGACGAAAGGCTGTCCCATCTCGCCTTTTCGGAATGCCCGACAGAAACAAGGGAAATCCTGTCCCTGCAATACTTTATCGATGGCATCCGGGATCCTGAAATACAGAAAGCTATACGAATGGCGGATGTGAAGGATATAAAAAGTGCTCTGTTATACGCCATGAAATTCGAGGCAGCCCAGCAAACTCATAGGGACCGTTACCCAGTCAGAGGTATGCGAGTCCACGAGCCAGTGGATGAACTGATGGCTCGTTTAGATGATCTATCCAGACAAGTCGACGCTTTGATACGGAGTAGGAGCAGTGAGAACAAAGAGGCTCGAAGGTGTTGGAGACGTGATTCTGAAGGTCACCTACGACGGCATTGCAGAACACCCCAGGGTACGAATAATAAAATGGATGAGTTGACAAGATCAGTGAATGCCTTGAGACGGAATAGTGGTGAAAAGAAACCGACCCTAAAGTGCTGGAAATGCGGTGTTGAAGGCCACCTAACGAAGGAACTGCAGAACACCCCAGAGCACGGAAAATAAGGCATACAATTTAAACAGACAATTAAATGCCATGGGAAGGAAAAGGATTGACAAGAAACCAAAGTGCTGGAACTGCGGAGTTGAAGGCCACATACGAAGAAACTGCAAAACACCCCGAGGTACGGAAAATAAGACCATTTCCCAGCAACGACGCAGTAAACAAATTAGTGACCATATCGAGGAACGGAGGTTGCCAGATAATGAAAAACCTTGTTTTAAAGCGCTTAAAAATTTATACAGTGAGTGGCAACAGTAACGGACTGTCCATCAATGGGAATATCGATGGAGTTCCTTGCAATATGATCATTGACACAGGAGCTAATGTTACCATCATTAGGAAAGATTTAGCTGAACAGTTAACTTATTTGGACGCCATCCTGTGTTACCCTTCAGACTGCGTCTGGTGACAAGATCGACATAACTGGGAAGTTAAACGTAAGCATCACGTTTGGAAGTGCCGCCTACCATCACACGGCATATGTGGCGGATATCACAGATCCATGCATACTCGGATTGGACTTTTTAAGGAAATACAATTTTTCCTTAGACTTGAAAAACAACAAACTGCTTTCAGCATCTGATGGCATGACTATCCATCCTCAAAAAGGGATCCTCGCCTGGAAATGCCGACGCCTTGTCCGAAAGATCCAGCTCGGGAAGCTGCCGAAATCATACTAGGGTCGAAAAGAAACGCAAGACTACCAGCTCTTCTCCAGCCCAGATGCTCTTCGGTCGAGACCTTCGTCTGCCTTGTGACCGCCTGTTTGATCGCCGTACGGATGCGCCTTCATCGCCTGAGGAACACATCCAAGATGTCCAGGCCCGTTTTGAAGTGATGCCCCGTTTTGCACGAAAGCGAGTGAACTTGGCGACGGAGAAGTGAGAAAGAAGAAGACCAGATACAACACGAGAGCTACTGGACATAGATCCAACAAAGGAGACAAGGTGAGGTTGTGGAACCCGATTCAACGAAAAGGACTCAGTCCTAAACTACAGTCACCTTCGGATGGTCCATGTACAGTGCTGAACAGACTGAATGACGTCTCCGTAAGTCTTCGAACTCTAAACCTAAAGTCGGGTCATTACGACAGGTTAGCTCATTACTATGGCCATAGTACGTAATGTAAATAATTGTAAATAGTATCAGACCATGGTCCTTTTTGTTTTTAAATGTGTATTTGATTTGATTTGTATTTAGTATTTGATTTGCATTTAGTATTTGATTTGTATTTGATAGCATTTGATTTGTTTTCTTTATTGCATTTATTGTTCATGTTGTATATTATTGTAATGTAATGCTTATTAATGCATTTATGCCACAGTTGTAAGTTGTTTAGCTTCCTGTCCAGGGATTGTACTGCCCGGGACGTGCAGTCCTTGGGAAGGGGGCAGTGTTACGAATTTGGTATTTAAAAAGCTAATGTTAGTTCAATTATAAATTAAATGGTTTTATTTCTCGCGCAGTGCAGCGCGTGACGAATATTAAAAGAAAGCTAAGCCGGAAAATTGAAAATACAAGAGCGCGTGCATTAAATAAATAAATATCACTTTTTGATTTCGAGAAAGTACTGGAAGATTCTAGCGCGTGATTTTAAAATCTTATAAAAGGAGGAAAACATCTCAGTTCGTAGTATTTACTTAGTTTGTTGTTGTTTAGAAAACTGCTCTTGTTGACTGTAGCGAATTCGCAGATTAGCTTTCTTTAGCTGTTTTGAATTAAGTTCTATTGAAGGTTTGAGTAGTTAGAAGATAACTACTAATGCATTGTGATACTGCAAGATTATTTGAGGACATTTAATCATATTTGTTGTTATAATAATAAATTTTTGTTCATTTTTCATCGGATTTGTGCATTTATTTCGTAACGAATCCGCACGCACGCAACAATATGTACGTTGAAAGGAAATAATTTATATACCGGAGAATATTTACTTTCATATCTTTACTTAATATTTGAAATCTGGGGTCGAAGAAAAAGTCTCGATTATAAGAGAGGTCATGAATGAAAAAGCATTTGTAGAGTCCAGTAGGTAAACTTCTGTATGAAACCTGGAGTAGCAGGAATCTACACATGAGAAGGATTAAAGTACCCTTTATTAAATCTTTGAAATTTTACAACGCGTCGACTCGACGCTAACAAAATTCGCCTCTGCTAGGCGGTAACTGATATTTAAATAACGAAACTAAAAGTTGAAGATATTAACCACAATAGAACTAGACTACAGGGCTCAGCGAGATCCTGTAACTTAAACCCTCTTCGAAGCTAGTGGCAACAAAGAAATGCAATTAAAGCACTTGAACCAGCTATAAGCAAACGTACCTACGGCAGAGACGGCGGCTAGAGCCTAACTCTCTTTTTCGCCTACCGAAACTCGGCTTTTAACTACTCGCTACAAAGTAGAAATTTGCATTCCTTCACGCGCGCTACAAAATTTAACTATTCTGGCGCTGACAATTACAGGAAAGTTTTTTAAATTAAATTTTAACTTGTTAGTTAAAATAAATATAAATCCCTACACGTTTAAGAATCGTTGTTCTAGACTCTAGAGCATGAATTTTATAAGATTCTATAAATAAGATCTCTTTCACTTGTGGAGACATTAGGTATTTTTGTAAGCAAGAAAGATGAGCAACACCCTCGCCGGGAATTGAACCACGGACCTCTGGAACACGCGCCCAGCGTGCAGACCACTACACTACGAAGGCATGCTGAGAAGGCTGGAGAAATACCTTATATACTAAAAGGTTTATATTGATCAATACCTTTGTCGGCAATCTGCATATCAATGTCCATCACTTATTTAAAACATTACTGTGATTGGAAGCACATGGCTTCGTTCAACGATTGCGATAATAGAGGTTGCATAAATTCCATACTCACGCTGCATTATTTAAGGAAATGAACAGTATTAACATTGGTACATTTATGCATTTAATTAATTATTGTCTTCAAAAGAACAAGTGATCCGGATAGTTGGAGTTCCAACTCACTAAAGCTCTGCTGTACTGAATTCATATCACACCAGAATGTGAATATTTGGTAAAAAGAGCTGAAAAATGCTAGCAAAATTAAAATTTGTTTATGCGTCTGAGTTCACGGAGAAACGATTTCCGCGAAAGTGTATGCGTCATTATCTGCTGTCAACTCGAATTCACAATTAAGTTAATTAATTTTCTCGCAGGGTTCCTGAAACATGTCGAATGTTACAAGAATCAATCTCAACGCTTCGGTAAATGTTCTGAAATATATATATCGAACATGGTCAACGTTCGGCTCAAATCAGAAGAGGAGCAAACGAAGATGACGTGCTGGTAATAGAATTATCTTTTTCTTGATTTCTACAATGTGTTTAATGTAACTTTTCTTGTAATTGCTTTTACATTTTACATTTTTTGTCTTCACTTCAAAATTTTGTTATAGAATTCAAAGGATAATCTTATAGGAAAATTAGGATAAAGCTCTTTAGTGATCATTTAATATTTTTAGGAATCCTGCACAAGGTAAAGAATTCATAGAAGCGGAAGCCTCTCTACCGCCAAAAGATCGACGCATCAGCTCAAATACAGATTTCGAATTAATGCTATGCCAGTACGATGCCCTGTCGATCCTTTACCACAATGTACGTCAATTCTATACCATGTTTTCCTTATGCTGTGTCGATGTGTTATGCCCGTGTGCATCGAATCTGTACACTGTCTTTTCATAATGCATCGATTCTACGTCATATCAACCACATGCCGGTTAGTGTTGATTCTAAGCAGTGTCTATGCTGTGTAGATCCTACGAATTTCCCCTCCCATGCCAGTGTGTATGGCTTCTATGCATCGCCATTCCTATGCTGTACCGATCCTATGTTTTGTTGATCCCATGCCAGCGTCTGTTGACTCTAGGCAGTGTGTTTCGATTCTATGATCCTGTGACATCAATTCTATGCAATGTCCATTGATGCTGTATCGATCCTATGCCGTATCCATGCTATGCCGGCATGAGTCGGTTCTGTGTAGTGTCTTTCTTATGTTATGTCAATGCCATGTCGATGCTATGCCGTTTGTGCTGATTCTATGCAGTATCTTTCTTATGCTATGTCGATGCTATGCCGGAGACGAACCGTAACATGATTAATCAAAAAAGGTAATGGCCTATACATTTGACAATGAAATTAAATACATATATTTCGTTATTTAGGAGCTCCTATGCTTTTATTATTCGCGATGTAAATTTGTAGACTAATTCTGTAAATTTATTATTTAATCTATTATTCCTATTAGATTATATTTCTCCTTTGAGTGTTTATGACAAATCAGTTTAATAAAATCCAAAAAAAAAAAAAAAATCAATGCCATCCGGGCAAACAAACTACTTCTGTTTCCACTGTTAACATGAAATATATGTAATTAAGCAGCACATGTACCCTACTATAGGACACTAAATTGCTTATTGAAAGCAACATATGTACAATACTATAGGACACTAAATTGCTTATTGAAAGCAACATATGTACCCTACTGTAGGAAATATGGCATTTTTCATCACGATGATGATTAAAAGCATTGATAAAGCATAAATGGCATTAGAACGATAAATGGCATGAAAACGACCTAAAACTTTTTTTTAAAGAGGAGCGCTGTAAAGGACCAATGTCAGCGTAGTGAGAAGGTGTATTAATGCTATTCGCACGTTGAATGTTGAGCACTTAATTTTTAGCAACCTGATAATAGTCGAATATACTCACTAAGGACTCCCATAAATTCGTCCCACTGTTTCCAAATGAGGTGGGCCTTGAAAGCGCAGACAAGGGCAAACTTAGGTCAAAGATAAATAAACGAATAACTCTTCTTTAATGAGGAATAGGGTTATTTATTTTTAAAAGTCATTAAAATGAAAATAATTAGCAGGTTATTTAATGCTATTTGCATAATACACAGGAATAGACAGTAGAAGCACCATCTCATGTGCAAAGCATTTCTTGTGGAAAACCTTTAATAAGCAGAGCTGGAAGATTTTTCTTCTCACCTGCAAGCTGTTTTCCTGGACTCACTGCCTCCAAATCTGTTTATCACTGACTGTTCTATTAAAACAGTTCTTTGTTTTGACGATCGTATGACCTGGTGCAGTGAAAGGAAAAACCGTGAACAAAATCCTAATAGTAAGTAAAAAATGCTTTAAAACTTTGGGTCACTAGGTTTGTTTATGTACTACAATATTAAAACTAGATAAGACTTCATTTTTTTACCTTAAACAAACAAGATTTATATCCTTTGTCTAATGTATCCTGATTGTAATATCTGTTTCAGTGACCATTCCACTTATTTTGAGCTGTATTCTGGACTCTTACCTGCGTTGGAATAAACTTATAACTCTTGTTAGGAAGTAAAACGAAGATGCCATTTTTTGAATATTCACTAGTTGTAAATGGAGCAGTAACAGACACATTCTTATTGTTACTTATAGAATGTTACATTAAGCCTTTCCTTAACTACTGTAAAGAAATTCTTATAACGCTTTCTGCAAAAACCATCGGTAGCTTGGAACTATGCAAAACCAAACTCTTTGCCTAATTTCCGAAGAAATTAAGACTAACTTTCCGTATAGTTTGCTAATCTCAATTCAGGTTAACGCAAGATTGAAACAAGTGCTTCTATTTTGCCAAAAAGACTCTTTTATAACGACTACTGGAGGAACTATTACTTCTAGAAATTCAGAAACTTAAAGACCTGACTAGGATTCAACCAGACCAGTTACCTTATTGCAAAAAATCTTGGTGTAGTTAGAGAATATGTCTTTTTAGTTGGACCCATAAATTTCAGTAACAATCAACTGCATCTTGACCTTGTCTAAAAAGTCAATAAAGAAGAAGTGTGTGGCACAAGAACCCGTCTAGGTGCACTGGAGACCACTGAAAGTCAATTACTTGAAAATCAATGAATTCAAATCTGCCCTGACGATTCAGTGAAGGAGAAGCACTTTGGCGCTGGAGCTGAAGTACACAAGAAACGTTTTTCTTCTATAAAGCAAGTCATTGCTAAAACTAAGCTTAAGAAATTTAATAAACTAAACTTAAAAACTTAAGAACTTAAAGAAATTTGAAGAACCTCGCGACAGCTCTGTTATCATAGGGTCTCTTTCTCCAAAGACATCAAAGCCATCATCCCTTTGGATTCTAGGTCTGTCCTTTAGTATCTTACCATCAATAATATTTACGCTTCAATACGTATTGATGAATACATATATCTTTCAAATATTCTTACAGACGCAACATCAATACAGTGGATGCCGGCCAGTAGTGGAGTAGAGAAAGGTAAAAGTACATATTTCCCGGTAAAGGAAGGACCACTGTCCTGCAAAAACCCACAAATCTTATAAATTTTGCTAAGATAGTAATAAATATGTGACTTAACAAGTTTCATGACTAAATTTCTGCATAAAAACCAGGAAAAGTGCTTAGGAATGTCCCGTGGATAAAGCTTATAATAACCCAGATTCTTCTTGCGATATAGCTGTGGTATCATTTAGGTTAATGATTAGCGGCAAAAGACAGGGGTTTGTAAATGATTAAATAAATAACTCCTTTTAAATAAACATTTCCTTTTAATTTAGTTACTTCCCTTTCCTGTCCTGAAAATAATAACTATTCATAATAAATCTCTCTAAACCTCGTCAGTTCCAAATTAATCTATTAATCATTGCATTGTGGTTCTTACACAACGGTGCAGTCAATAATAATATTAGTTTTTTCTAATTGAAACTTTACCAATCAGAATGAAGTCAAACTAAAACTGAATCATGGCTTGTCCTAACATTTGAATTACAACGTCGCATTCCTCTTTCTGTTCTCTGTTCTATGATGTTACCTACTGCTCTTCAAACATATTGCAACATGTTAAAAGTGCCGATGGAACCGTTCAAGAAAAGTGGCGATTTGCGCTACGTTATCTGTCTCTGCATTAAAAATGTTATATTGTTACGAATTTGGTATTTAAAAAGCTAATGTTAGTTCAATTTTAAATTAAATGGTTTTATTTCTCGCGCAGTGCAGCGCGTGATGAATATTAAAAGAAAGCTAAGACGGAAAATTGAAACTACAAGAGCGCGTGCATTAAATAAATAAATATCTCTTTTTGATTTCGAGAAAGTACTAGAAAATTCTAGCGCGTGATTTTAAAATCTTATAAAAGGAGGAAAACCGCTCAGTTCGTTGTAGTTACTTAGTTTGTTGTTGTTTAGAAAACTGCTCTTGTTGACTGTAGCGAATTCGCGAATTAGCTTTCTTTAGCTGTTTTGAATTAAGTTCTATTGAAGGTTTGAGTAGTTAGAAGATAACTACTGTGATATATTGTGATACTGCACGATTATTTGAGGATATTTAATCATATCGTGATAATAATAAATTTTCTTCATTTTTCATCGGACTCGTGCATTCATTTCATAACAAACCCGTAACGCAACAAACTTTTTTTTTTTTTTGAAAAATGAACAAAATTTATTATTATAACAACAAATATGATTAAATGTCCTCAAATAATCTTGCAGTATCACAATGCATTAGTAGTTATCTTCTAACTACTCAAACCTTCAATAGAACTTAATTCAAAACAGCTAAAGAAAGCTAATCTGCGAATTCGCTACAGTCAACAAGAGCAGTTTTCTAAACAACAACAAACTAAGTAAATACTACGAACTGAGATGTTTTCCTCCTTTTATAAGATTTTAAAATCACGCGCTAGAATTTTCTAGTACTTTCTCGAAATACAAAAGAGATATTTATTTATTTAATGCACGCGCTCTTGTATTTTTAATTTTCCGGCTTAGCTTTCTTTTAATATTCGTCACGCGCTGCACTGTGCGAGAAATAAAACCATTTAATTTATAATTGAACTAACATTAGCTTTTTAAATACCAAATTCGTAACAATATCAACAGTATAGGAAAGTATTCAGCTGGTAAATGACTGTTGTTATGTCATCATTTATCCACATTCATTCACCATCTATAAAATTATTACGCCACCAATCAAAATGTTTTATTACATATCTGTTTATTATCTTAATGCTTGTATTTTTAATTCTCATTTTATTTCTGTTTACCAACTCTACCTGTTAACTCTTTTCTTGTAAATTGCAGCACAATACAGGAATATGACAGATGTATGCGAAATGCTATAGAAGGTCGATGCGATGCTGATGCCCAAAAACTTGTACGCGAGACAGTCGTAACAGTTTTGAAGCAAACCTTCAATTTCTGCAATCAGTACGGAAACATTCCCACTTCAGACTGTCTGCATTCTCTTTCCGCCACCAAAGGTCATGCCACAGGAAACAGGGACGAAGAAAATGGATACGAAAGTTCCCAGAATTCAATCCATCAGACAAAACTCGTGTTTCTTCTTCTGGTTTTAGTTATAGCCTGGTCCTGACAGCAAGAAAGTTCACTGTAAAGAATAACAGTGTAAATTCTAATTTGCACAAATTGTTACTTCAAGTTGCAGTCGTCCGTTGGTGATAAAACAATGGGTACTGTAAGCTTAATACCATTTTCGTAAGAAAATATCTTTGCTGAAGGGAATATGCGTAGAAAATAAGTTGTCAGCCAGTGTCTTAAAGTTAATTGTGATTGCATTTTGCTAGATTCTTCTCTTGGTAATATGGTGCCTTCGTTTGTGCTCATAAGAAAATGGTCTCTGGATAGAATTCAAAGCTTGCAAAAGCATGTATAAACTTTTGCATTACATAAATCTTATTGAACTCCTTTAAGCGAAAGTATGGTTATTAAATTTCGTTTAATTTTTGTGATTAGGGAAAGAAGATGTTTTGTTTCCTGCGTTAATTAGACGAAAAAGCTCCTGCTATCGTCAAATTTAAAAACTAATTTTATAATGCTGAATAAAAATTAAAAGATAAAAAAATACTGTATGAATAATGTAAATAATTAGTAATGGATGGTAAACATTTACGTGATATTCTCGTACAAAAACATACATTTTTCATTTTCATATTTTATAAAAAGTTAGACGATAGAAGTTATTTTTCGAGAAGTTTGCTAGCGGAATTTTAATCCTCTGTAAAGCGAAAAGGTGCTTACATATTTTTACATTTTGTTCACTGAAGAATTCATTTATAACTTATAGTTTTTCATTATATTTAATGAAAAATTATTTATTTTAAAATTGTTCATATATTTCAATATAAAAAATTTTCTTTTAGAATTAAAAATTCCTCAACACTTGTTATTTTGACTTGAATAATTTTTTTTGGCTTACAATAAATTTCTCATAAAGGTTTTTTTTTTTTTCAATATTTTTTTTTCAAGTTATAATTCCGAAATATTTTTTATTTTGACTTGAAATAAATTTTTTGGTTTACAATAAATCTCTAATAAAGTTTTTTTAAACTAATTAGGTTTTTAAATATTATCAATTTCACAAAGATAATATGTATCTTTGTAAAATTCATGAGATATTTTGAGAGAGCTATTATTAATAGTGCGGAGATCTAACCTTGTCAGGTAACATCCACACCCTGATAATGTTTAAATCCCAAATTTCTTGAATGCAGTCGTCAGCAGGAACAATCTGGAGCACAAACTATCTGAAGTTTGTTTCAAATTTCGGTAAGCTAAGCGGTATTATACCTACCACAAGCAGAGAAATCTGAATTTGAGATCCCATTCGAATCCCATCTTTTACAGCGGTGCTCAAGTAAAGTGGCATTGTGATTAAAAGGGCTAGTGAGTGTGTGTGTGTGATGTGCGTTCTCTTCTAAATAGTATTTCTTTGACAATAATTCTCAAAAGAAACACTGTAAGCTTTTACTTAGCTTTCAATTTAATAACACATTATGTTAAGCTTCTGACCGGAAGGGCCGTATAATATTTGTTGTGATGTCTGTAAGAAATTATATATACTTGCATCTTGAAATATATCCAAGAAATTAAGGCAATGTATTAAAATCCAGGTATAAATTACCAAGGGTATTTTGGCATAATCAAGAAAATACCTTTCTCATGGCAGCTTTCAGAAATATCAGCTTCCTTAGTGAAACCCTTGCCGGTCAGAGGATTAAGTTGATAGCCAGGTTCGGTAGTTCAACGGTAAGTCTTATATGTAGGCAATAAGGATCGTGATTTGCAAGTTTCAGTCGAAACCTAAGTTTCACAACTTTCAGTTTGTCAAAAAGTACAGAAGTTAATAGGAGATTCGAAGTCTAAAGCTAAGTTCTAAATCTGAAGCCATATTGATTAAGTCTTCATTTAAGGTATTAAAACCTGTTAATTATTATTGCCGCCTTTAATAAAACTTTTCTTAAGCTTAATCCTCTTGATGTTAAGAAATTTCAGTGCTATATTTGTAGAAAAATTTGAAAATAAGATAATTTTGTGGATGAGAAACATCCTTCTTCTTCGAATTAACATCATAATGGATTATAATGTTAATTAGAAGGTAACAATCACAATGGAACAATTTTTTAAAAAAAATGTACCATTACAATTTTCGTAAATTGTATCTTAATGGTACAATTTAAAGAAAGAAATGATACAATTTAACACATATTTATAATTCTAAGTGAAATTCTGTTAACGGACCGGCACATATTTATAATTTAAGAAAATTCATTAATTTACTTAGCCAGAAATACTTTATAATTTAAACCTTCAAGATCGGTCATGGTTTGAAAGATTTAATTCAGATTTGTTTTAGTTTAAAACCTTAAAATTAAAATATATATATTAACTATTATGACGCATGATAACTAAGAGGTAGTTTCTTTTGAAGGAAAATTTAAACTTTCTGACGAATGCTTTAGAATGAAATAAAATTAGATATTTATGTGAGAAGTAATAGTAATCAGATAATACTTCAGTTCTCACTCCCGAAAGCAGAACTTCTAAACATTCCCGGAACATAACACACATTTTAGGGTTTGCTACGAGTACGTGAAAACAAAAGCTTTGAATATTCTATGAATGAGTAAATAATTAAATAAATGATAATTCGATGAGTGAGTTAAATAATTAAATAAATGATAATTCGATGAGTCAGTTCAATAATTAAATAAATGATAATTCGATGAGTGAGTTAAATAATTAAACAAATGATAATTCGACGAGTGAGTTAAACAATAATTCGATGGATGTCTTAAAAAATGTAATAACTATTCCTAACTTGAGGCCTTAAGCCTAACATGACATTATCCTGTCCATCTTCATGCGAACTACACTTTCACCATAATTGATAAGTTTTTGCTTTGATAAGTATAAGGATTAAGAAAATTTGCATCTTTAGAGTAACTTTGCGTTCAACTCCTGTATAATAATATCTCTTTGGAATTTATTACCAAATACCTTCAAACTATACTACTAGGCTAAAATCTTGCATAACACAGAACACTTGGAGTTTCGCCCATAAAAAAAACTCTGATTTTTTTAGAAAGTGCACCACACAGCATAATTTCTTTTGAACCTAATTTCAGCTTACGCAAGAATAACTATTTTGGATGATGAATATCATAAAATACATTTCAGTTTACTGAAGAATATCTTGCTGATTGTTTATAAATCACAAAATCATCCAAAGTTCAGAATTATGTGAGACTGGCCAAAGAAATGCGTCGTCAAAGATCTCGGCGAATATTTTAATGAGTTAAATTTTATTAGGATCAAACTTTATGCATTAAGGATTAACTCTATGCATGCATCATTTGCGTTAATTTGAAATAAAACTTCATTTCCGTAAATTAACTTCAAACCCTTTGGCAATAAAATATTTTTTCTGTGTGTGCTGTGCATCAGTAACTATAAAATTTGTATAAAATCTAAGATGCTCTCTGCATTATATGTTGGGAATATTCTTTAAGATACAAATCGCTTGAGGGTACCCTTTCTAGATAACAAAAGCTGATAGGTAAAAAGTAGCGATATCAGATACCCAGCCTAAATTTTTCCATCGTTTATAACAAATTTAGAAAATTGTTGGGTTCGTCAAAATGTCTGACTCAAGTAATTTTATTTCGAAATGTTCAAATACAGAGCAAAACGAAAACAAATACACTATTTTAAGTTTTATATGTAAGGATGGTATTATTCTGTTTTTGACTTCACAAACAACGTCGTAGGGATGATTGAATTTTCGTCATATTTTCACTACCGTATCTTTCATTCTGTTTCCGCAACATTAACAAACAACTCGGCGCAATCAGATCTTGAGTACTTACAATTAAAATTGGTACGAACACACTGTCCTTAATGTATATTCTAAATAAAACATTCTTAATATAAGATCTAATAACATATAAGGCTAGTTATTTAACATTTCTGTATGATAAATCTAAAACAAAAAATTGCTAAGGGAAAATTTTCTTAAAAAGAAAAATCCATACTAACATTTTCGTGACATTTTTAAATTCGGAGATTTTATTTTTAATGTTCCATATAGGATAATATAAAAGGATGGAGAATTATGCTCATCTCAATTAAAATTAACGACTTATGCTTTACGTTTTAATTACCTAATAGGAATTCATGATCGTCAATAGTTCTTCGCCGAATTCTTCCTTGTTGCCTGTGTTGCAAATACTTTGCAAACTGCGAAAGAAAGGCCCATTGTTTTATGCCCATCTACAGGCTGATTAAGCTAAGCGTGTGCAGACTTCTGCGAAGTGTAATTTCCATAAGAATTAATTGAATCATTTAGAAATATAGGACCGGAAACTCCCCAGTAAACAAACAATGTTAGGCTCTTCCCAACGCTGACGTCATTTACTTATAACAATGGGGGAAACGAAGACACAAGCGAAGTAGGAAAGAAGTTGCTTTTAACTACTTCACAGTTCCACCCCCCCCTCAAGACAGGTTCGTCGATTTTGAAAAGTGTCATCAGGTGTGAGCAACGAGACACATTCGTCGGGGTTTAACATGCCCTGGATCGTTACTCCCGAGAGTGACTCATCGCTGGGAGTTTTCCAACCAACAGAATGAGGGAGAAATTAAGAGAGGGGATTTATGGCCTAACTTTTCACGCTGTCTCTAGCTCGAATTTGTATTTAGGTTCATAATGCAAAGGAACGGGAAATAATAATGCATTTTTAACTTCCTTTCAGATTGCACTGCAACAGGATCTATTATTCATTTGAAATTGTGGCTTTAGGGTTTGGCTTTGTTAATTTTCAATTAAGAGACTGGGAATGCAAGAGAACTTTTTCTCGTAGGCAGGATGACGCTATTAAGCATCCTTGAGTGTGGCAAATAGGCTGTTCAAGCTGATTTGACATGAACTTTTAAATCGGCCTTGACAGCCGGTAAAAGGGGAAATAAATATTTATATCTTAAACTGAGGGGAGTTTAAGAAAAGTATAAAAAAAGTAACGTCATGTAAAAGCAAACCTGGTAGTGGGATAGTAGAGTAAATTCGGTAGTGCCATTATCGAGAGCTATGACAGGCACGTCTGACATCGAAGAAAATGAGTTTTTACTTCTGTATACTCTATTCTATACACTAGCACATGAAGGTGGCTTTCTTAGCTTGTATTGCTGTATGATTCCGATTTTTTTTTGTGCGATTTTGTACACGCTTAATTGAATCAGTCTGCTCAAAATAACTTACCGTTGAACACTGAACAGATTTTATTTGTATTTTTGTGCAACTCATACAGGCCTTCAATTCTAAAATCCACAGTTGCTTCCACTTATTGTTTAGTATTACAAAAATATTCTGCATTTCACGAAACTTGCATCACCTACCCAAGATAAATATGAAAGGGAAAGAAATGATAAATATTAAACCGTTTAACAGAATGTGTTTCCTTCTAGATGTAAACAAAACCGTATAATTTATTCATCTCATCATCGGTCACTTTGTCTTGACAATCTCGTGAATTTATGACAACCTATGATTGTGTTCTGTAGCCCTTTGTTTTAATCGTTCTACATCAAAGATATCGTCTGGTTTGTGACAAAACAGATCATTCACCAATGAAACTTTTGTGTTACCGTCTTGTTATCTATAAAGCATTTTTGAAGTTTTCATAATGTAAAAATGTTAAAAGTCTTTCAATAAAAATAATAATAAAGAGATTTAGAATACTTATGTCTCTTTTATTTTATGGAGTACGCAATTCGAAATTGATTTACTGGAAAGCAGTTCCACCACAATATTAAGATTTCGGGCCAAATTCTGTAATTTTTATTGGGAAAATAACAGATA